ATTCAAGTCAAATTTGGTAGAACTTGTAATAGAGTTATAAAAACATACGGCGCAAAATTTATGCCCATAGAATTCATAATATCACCGAATCTCGCACCAAAAATCTAAGAAACTGTATCTTCTCCAACTTCAACAGAATCTCGCAACGTGATACTCATTAGGCATACAAAATTTTGTTTTTCGAGATGTGCTTAGAGCAAAGTACTCCCTCCCCCCCCCCTCACTGCGCAGCTTAACAGTAGCTCAGAAGCTTAACAGAAGATTAAGGGAAACACTCAGATGTAGTTTTGTAAACTTTGAAATTGCTAATGCGTTCTCTAACATATGATTCCAGCCTTGCTTTTGCTTTCATGATGCTTGCTTTCTTTACAAAAATCGTTTTGAGTGAATGTTTTTGCTTGTCATGGTTTTCATTTTTGTATGATTTCAAATAATACTATATACAAATGAGTGCAATATTCAATATACATGGTGTCCGTAAAGTATGTATACACTGTTTGATCGTTACTATCTTTCTTCCCAACAAGTTTTTTGCCTTGCTTCAGGTACCGTTTTGTAGAGCTAGCTTCAACTTAGATTTACAGTATAAAACGAGTCACTCTTCATTACTGTAGGATTACGGTAGAACTTCTACAAAGATTTTAGGCCATTGGAGGCCATATTCTGCCTCGGAACAAGACGAAACAAGCCAAACTCTTATACTACGGTAATGGGAGCCGCTGATTCCGAAATTGAAATTCCCATTTTACTGTGATGCTTCTTTCCTAAGTTATCGCCGGTAAATCGTAGTAACTCAATTCCCAGCATTTGTCAGAAATGTAACTACACTGTCAAAAAAGCCGAAAATACTTGTAAAAAGTTGTTAGGTGGAATCAGCATACGCGAAAACCCTAATACACGATTTAGATTTCTTGAAGAAAATTTTGTTAGGTGGTATATTTTACATTGGTCATATGCTGTACCGTAATCCTACAGTAATGAAAAGCGATCGGTGATTCGCTCCATACTGTAAATCTATGTTGAAGCCAGCTCTACAAAACGGTACCTGAAGCAAGGCAAAAGACTTGTTGGGAAGAGAGATATTAACGATCAAACAGTGTATACATACTTTCCGGACACCCTGTATATTGCTATAAGCACATAGTTTTGTTTAAAAAAATTATTTGCATATATTCAAAGCAAAATTTTCATGTTAGTGCAAGACTTTTGCATCAACGAATACTACGACATAAATATTAGGTTGTTGTATTAGGCTGTTGACATTAGGTTTTTTATTAGGTTGAAGTGTTTGTCACTTTCTTTAGACGGTCTCCAAAAGTCACAGAACACTGATCGCTGGACGACTTAGGCATCGATTGATTTTTATACTCTTTATTATAGTTATACTTGCTCTTCAAACTACGCTATCTTAGCGATGTTATTGCCATGGCTTTTTAAGCAGATCAAAACTAGCCAAGTCTTTTCTGAGTTTTGAAAAATTTTATCCAAACACTTTCAAGGAGCTCTGGCAGTTATTAAGTATAGCAAACCTTTGGCTACATTATACCTATTTTAGATCACATAAACCTTATTTATTGAGTCCGAAACGATTATTTATTTGGGAAGAATCGCGGCTTTTTGATCAGGTTGAGCACATAATTACCAAAATTCCAATAATGATTCTCCAAAGCAAATCAAATTCGATGATGTTGCGCAAACAGCGTTTGATAAGAAACAGGTTTCAACTTGCAGAAACTTCGAAAGCTTTCGTGTTTTTATTGCTTGAGACCTCTGAAGAAATAACTTTTTATAGCTATAAATAGGGTTAGGAGAATCTAGAAAACCTACCATGTAGCCCTTTCCAAAGCTTTGAAATAAAATTTTTGAAAATTAGCCGAACTTTGAGCAGATAGAAATGATGTTTGAAGAGTTTTGGCAATTACCAAAAAGCGCGTATCTGGTTCGAAAATATAACCCATAAGAAAGAGAAGGAACAGATGCTGAATGCATCTTGAAACTTATTTAGATCTTTATTGTCCGTGATTTTATAGTCGTTTGAAAAAATCGACAAAAAACCTTTGGACAAAGTAATATTTGGTTGTCCCATAAGTCATTCAAAAGAGCCTAAATAATATTTCTCAAAAACTGGAGCAGCTACGAGGATGCAAATTTACCGCAGTATTTGTGAGTGAAGTGAATCCTATATGTAAAGCTGAATGTCTGTTTGTATGTCTGTATGTCTGTATGTATGTCTGTATGTACGTATGTTCCAAATAGAAATTTTTATTTCTGAACCGATCGGGACCAAACTTGGCACACATACACTTCGGACCCCGGCGTGTGTCATACTGACTGTGACACCCGCCGGGCCCGAAGTGTACGTGTGCCAAGTTCGGTCCGGATCGGTTAAGAATTGGAATTTTCTATTCGGAACATACGGCGGAGCCGGGTAAGCCAGCTAGTAAGCTATATAAATACGTATGCTGAAGGATCCCAGGATGGACCGCTAGAGACGAAGTTTGCTGATTAAAGTCCATCGATTTTTTCTCGGCTCCTAGCCATCAAAATACTACTGCGAGTGTATTTCCATAAAAGCACCAAAAATCTATGTCGTCTTGAGTCTCATCTGAAACATAGGTATGCTAGTTTTTTCAGTTGAGAATTCTCAGTTGATGCAAAACGATTTCGCATAACGCAATAGTTGTAGAGAAAAGGGGGGGGGGGGAGGGAAAAGGGGTGGGTTCAAAAGTCAAAATACTCACTGTTGATAGAATGGTATGACTTGGCCCGTATGCATGTACATCCCCGCGGGGAGGGGATGTGAGTTTAACCATTGCAATGAACCCCGCTGGGGCTCCCCTCCCTTCCCCACGCGAATCCCCGTATGCAGAAAGGCAATACCGGAGAGGGGATCCCCTGGGAGCAGGGGAGGGGAGCCCCCTTATGCAGAAGGGGAGATCGAGCGGGGAGTTCATTTTGCTTCCGCTTTTTTGGAGTGATTATTCCTTTTTTCTTATCTTTTGATAGCTACTCGCCTTCAATGTGTCTCGGTGATATTTAGTTGTTGCGGAATGCCGTCTGCCGTGATTGCGGTCTGCGCACTAAAGAAATATTTCCTACATCCATTATATTCCAGCTGTTTTCATGGATGCTGCTCATTTTCGCCCATGCTGCCCATTTCAGAGTAAAAGTGTACAATAATAGGAGTCAAGGTGTATCTGCAGCGAATCGTTAGAAGACGTTATGCTGCCGAGAAAAAAAAGGGGGTGGGTGCCGCGGATATTCAAACCAGCATTTCTACACATAAATGAAGCTGGAAATCGCCAGCTCTCCATAAACGCTGTAGCTATCAGCTGTATATCGTCCTTTACCCCAGGGGAATAATCCCCAGCGGCCATCCCTGCTATGCACGAGGGGAACGATGGGGAGGGGATCACTCCCCCGAGGATCTCTACTCAGAAACACGCGAGTCTGCTGATTTTCATTTTATTCAAAGCAGTTTTACGTTAGGATAACAAGATAAAGACAACTTCTCATATAATTTGATAGTTACAATATGTTGTACCAGCCTTAATGGATAAAACTATCATGTCAAATAAAAAATGCGCAACTCTCGTGATTGGTCACAACCTTCTACAGATATTTGAAACATGCAGATAGATGTCCGGATTTTTTTACAAGAAGCGAATATGGACGAGAGAGTTAAAACTGCAAGCTACAGGTCGCTGAGAGAGGAACCCGGCTCCCGTAGAAAACCTTTCATCAATTTAAACGAAATGCTTTGTGATACTTGATTAAAATCAGAATACTCGCTTCCCTGGCTTGACCTACACCGTCGAACCCCTACTCCGTTGTAGGGGATGTCGATCCCCTCCCCCGCGTTATTGAGTTAAATTCGCGCATACGGGGTTCGAGTGGGGGAAGGGAAGGGATCCCCTCCCCCATTCGAACCCCGTATGCACTGGGATTGCACTCGATCAATACCTCTGAAACCATTCACACCATCCCCGCTTAGGTGCAGGGGAGGGGATCGCTCCCCTCCCTTCTGTCATGGCGGGGTTCGGCGGAGGGGATCGTTCCCCTGGGGATCTAGCTCCCCTCCCCTCCCCAGCGGGGACGTACGTGCATACGGGCCTTAGCTAGCAGGAAGCGCTTATATAGCGCTCAGATCCCGCGCATAGTTCAATGCAATACCAATAGATCCTAGAGATCACAATCCAATAACAAAACAAAACAAAACAACAAATGTTACTCCCCAACAATATGAGTAGCTTTCTAGACGTTTCTTCTTTCAATGTCTGTAATTCGCCATTGCGTCCAAAAAGACACGAATCCCGAATGATTTAATACACTGGCTAATCCGAAAGCTTTTACGAATAATCGAATATTAACAAAAAAAAGCCGATTGACTACTGACAGACTATTTTAATTCAAAGATGGAATATCCAAATAATCGGTTGTAATCGAAATTTGAAAAAAATTGATTGGTTGACTATCGAGTATTCAAAGATTTCAATTTTGCCAATAACCAAATTCCAAATGTAATTCACTAAGATTGTATCCCATTTGGTCCACTCAAAAGTGAATGATTTATTTGGATACACAAAATCTCAAATAATTGTTCAACGTTCAATTGCCAGATTATCGCAAAGATAGTTCCTTATCGATGTTCTGATTCGAGTAATTGCTTTACTCCTTCAAATACTACGTATGTGCTTTCGCTTCATACCCTGAAAATTAAGCGGGACATTCCCCTAACACCGAAAGTTTAATTTAGTAACATTCCTTGTGAGGATCATACTGTTGCTAGATTTTCGTAAATCTCAGCATCACTCAAATTTCCTCATTGATATGCATAATCACCGCTCTTAATTTCTGCTCTGAATGACCATCTGACGTTGACTCAAAATTGTGTTTTGTTGTACTAGAGTCCAATTTTTCGGTGATCTTTACAACTTGGAATCTTGTCTCGTTGTTCTTCGCGACTGCAGAGCTTCTGCCTAAAGTAAATTGTCATTTCAGCAATCTTCTCAGATGTTCAACTGGACCACATTTCTCGCCCTGATCTTGGTGTTGGTATTCTTGTCATTCTGTAATGCAGAGCCCATCAGTAAAGCCGAACTCGAGCGCATCTTCCGTTCGTGAGTATCTCACTCCATCCGTAGATTACCTTACAATATTAAAGTGTAATTCTCCTTACAGGAACCCAACAGCTTTGGCTCGATTCCAAGAAATGTTCGGCGGGGACGGGATGGGCATAGATTCAGGACGGCTATCAAATTTGCAACGACTTGGCTAGACTTCCGCTGAAAAAATATGCTTGTTATAGAGATAATCAGACTGTTGTGCCAATATCTTGCCCTGTGAAATAAAATCTATCTCACCGTAGAACTTTCTACTGAATTAGCTGGTGAACTCTAACTGATATAGGCTTATCAGAAGTATGTGTATATTGCTTGTGTGCCGCTAATTCTCTTCCTTTCATCAGTTACTTTATGAGCTCTTGGGTAGCAGTTTGTAAAGATTCACAAGATAGAACGTACGATCAATCTTTCTTTGTTATTGTAGAACTACGAGCTGCACTAAAGAAGTCATAGCCAAAAGTTTCAATGAGAGCTTTAACACGTTTCGGACCGCGAAATCGCGCGCGGCGAAAAAGAGGGTACTTTCAGCCGTTAGCCAATAAAGGGACCTTATTCCCCAGATTGTGTGCTACATCTGTAATCAGCATGTCAGATAAGATCGATACCCAAAGTTCTGAATGAATTCGAAGTGTTTGAATTTTGTCGCTTGAGAAGGACTTCTGTGCTTTCTTGAAAGATAGAAACGAGAACTCAGTTTCTAGTTGTATTTAAAAGTTTCTATGTTGTACACGATACACATGACTATTCAAATTACGGTTTTTCTCATTGAATTTGAAGCGAAGAAAAGTTGCGACGTCGCACGCGTCGTTCGCGTTGCCGCACTTCGTTGCAACTGTTGTTTGATTTGCCCTCATATCTCCTAAACAAATGTCGGCCGCACAGCTCTGCAGGGTTATTTGAAAAGTAGAAGCCTAGGCCTTTGAATTGATAACCTTGGACAAAAAGAAAACCTCCTCTAAACATTAAAAATCCTTCAAAGCAGCGTGCTGCACCATGTGCAGCACCGGTCCGAAACGTGTTAAGTCAGCAATGGCTACGTCTCGGGAAAGATCCTGAAAAGTCTGAAACAGTGTAATACTTCTACCAAAAAAAAAACGGGAACTGCATAGTATTATCTGAGATTATCTCCTTAATCTTCGCCCAAAGTTAGATAGGTGTATTGTTTGGTTTTGCCTCTCAAACAAAACTACAAACCATAAGATATTGTCTTTGAAAGGTAGTTGTTCAAAAATCGAAAGCCATTGTTTCAAAGAAATTGTATTAGCCGACACATGTTAGCGATAAGGTGCGGAAAGAATTCGTTCCGTAAGCCAAAAAAGGTCCGATATTGCTATACTGTGTACGTATGAAGGAGTCAACCCTAAGTGAATAATCCGCATTATTCGTTACAGCATTATAATGCGTATCATCTGCTTATGAGATGCCCTGTATGGTGAACATTCTAATATCGATCCCAAACGATAAGGCAGTGTGCCGTGATTTCTATTAACTTTGCATAAAGTACACTTGAAAAAACTGATCTGACGTAAAAGGCGGGCTTTAAAGGCAGTAGATAGGCAGAATGAGACCCGTGACAAAACAAGGTCGCAGGGTAGGAGCCCCCACATGGAACCTATCGGCCAAAGTCCGATCTTTCTCTGCCACTTCTAACCCCCGAAATTTCAACGCGGAAGCAGCGCTCATCTCCTGTATTCTCTGGCCCCGCCCATCCCATGATGGGCGTTTGAGGACCAAACAGCTATACATGGCAAGCAATAGGACAAGTAATAATCAAACGAAAACTTTGAATCAAAGCGCTGCCCTTTTGTGGAACTCTCCGATGCAAAAAATCTCGGGTTTAGACAAATGATAGCTTGTTTGAAAGCTGTTTGAATGAGAGGCTCCAACTATGTATACTAGCAAATTGCGGAACTGCTTTCTCTAATCAAATCTACGAGGAACTAGACATTGAAAGGAAGCTGGAGAAGATCCGCAACAACTACCAGGATGGCATATAGATTATTATATTCAAACTAATAATAATAGTATGATATTAGTAGTAATAGTATTGATCCGCCAAACAATCAGATTGCGGAAGTGTATGAAAATGCAAATAGTTTTATCTTCGTTTGAGTGCGATACTGCAAATGAGTTTAGAAATTGCACGAGAATGACACGGGTTGCAGAGCATGAAAATAAACTTGAGTTCAGTTTGTAGTAACTTATCCCTAGTATGAGGTCAAAGAAAAAAATCCGTAACTCAAAGACATATCTTTACATACGCTGCTATGCTAAGCTTGACACTAATTTATAGCTCAATGTCTGTATATGAGATAATCATAGCTGAACACGAGTCCATTTGAGCAATCATTCTATGAAAGCTTTTAATAACTCTCCATCTATAAGCGAGCAGCTGTAGTACCATGTCAGTTATTTGCTTGTCCTCTCGCACTGAATTTGAGCAAGCATATAGTTACGAATCATTATCTTATTTCTATAGAATAGAAAAGTGTCCTGGTGTCCTCCTCATGGTAGCGCAGCTATGCCTACAAATCTGTGCAGTTTGTTTGCTCATCACTTGTATTAGATATTTAAGGCTGAAGTCAATATTATTTCGAGTTAATATTTCAACCAAAGTTGGTGAGCTCCAGCGGAGAGATCTTTCCTTCAGTAAGTTCTGTAGGGAAATTTATATTCTCAATACTTGCACAGTTGAAAAGTTTCTTGTTCAATCTTATAAGATCTTTGTTGCATCAGCTGCAATCATACCTTATCTTTGATTCAATTCCTTGCTTAAAATCTAATCTATAATAATTAGGCTGCACCCTGAGTATACAAGCTCCTTTAATAAATCGGACAAAAATTCTTTATCGAGCAAATATGTTCCGACAGTGAAGCAGTTACTATTTTGACCTTCTCTTTCAGACTAGCTAGAAAAAGTCAGTCAAATTTTGTGTTTAGTTAGACAAACATTTTGACATTTGAGTGAACATTTACAAAATGAGAAGAAAAACGTTTCTTTCTCGAGCATCTTTAAAAATAGAAAGACTGTGGATTACACGTACTTCAAATTTCAGAAAAACGATGGGTTATAAAGTATTCCTCGTTTTTATCCTGCTGCATGTATGTGTTGTTATGGGATGTTTTGAGACCATCTTTCGTTGCTTGCATCCAAATCTTAAGACCTCCGACGAAGAGGACCAAACACAACACTGTTCTAGGTTGACTACATATGTGAGTTTTGACTTTCTCAATAATATGTTCGTTGCGTAACTCACTCATGATTTGCAGTGTCGAAATTTGTGTGGGTTGAAAAATCCGCGCAGTTGTGGCAAATATAAAGCGTGCTTCGAGCAATGCATGCAAAATAACAAAACCATGACATTCTCTCAAGGACTGACTCATGCAAACGGGAAAATTATTCTATGAAAAATTTCTCATTGATGCTTATTGTTACTAGCTTATGTTATAGGAGGAGATGATGGAATGTATTGCCAGTTACTCATTCATATTTGCTTCAAAAAATCGTTTCCTAATCGTATGACAGTGGATACTTGTTGAGAAACGAAAATCTAAAAATGTCAGATATCTGCTAAAGTCTGAACCATGGCATAACCGAGAGGGTCAATGGTAGCAAATGTCAAGGTGGAGATCGTTTAGGGAAAGACAAAAAAGTATAGTAAGTAGATGTTTACTGAGGCATGCGGAAGGGGACAATGCGAGCAAAATGCGAGCAGTGTAAGATCATCCTTACCAACTTTTACGGAATTTCACTTGTGGCATCGATCATGTGTTTGCCCCCCCCCCCACCCCCCTACCTTAGTACGGTGTCACTTTGGCACCGAAGAGTTTTGAAAGACTCAAAATTTGGGACTGTCGCCTTCCGCACCACACCCGATGTTCACATACATCACCTAACCCTCACTCTCATGTCATACCCGTACGTGCAAAATATGACTACTAAATATGTGGCGCGAGTTTCAATCCGCATTTTGCTTTTGCATAAAGCAGTAAGTAGTGACTCTTTTACACGGATACAGAATGTGCTGATGTCGGCACTTCCTTTGTCGTCCCACTACCTAGTTAGATTACTGTAAAGGTCGTGCTATAAGCATGTCATGCTGCAGTATAAGTGCATTCATTGCCCAGATGCACATCTAGATACTTTGCCCCGTCATCGTAAGCATTCTACCAGTGCACTAACACATGCTCTGTTCATAAAGCTTACAGCTATTGTATTCTGTACAGCGCACTCTGCCAAGCGCTATTCCGGCTCAAGCTAGAACCACCAATACATGTGGTGCATTGGCCAACTACGAAGACAGTATAATACTTTGGTTTGACAGCAGCACAAAGAGAATCAACGTTTGTTGAAGCTGCTCCCCACCTGAAACCGCACACCAAATATTTCACGGAAGTACGGCGCGAGTACGCATAAGGGTGAGCAGATCAAATCCAGGGACGATTAGTGCGTACGAATGATATGCCTCTACAATCTGCGCCAGTATACCCGAATTATCAGGTCGAAACCAACGAAATTCTTAAAAAAGGTCCCAAAGATTTTTCATGGCTACAAAGACATTTTCAAACAATGGTAAACCTCCAACCTTTTCTTTGACGAAATATTCAACTTTTCGATCATCAGAGTTTACACTGATGCAACTTAGGGTCGGACAGCAGAGGCACAGAAGAATGAGTTCAGGGTACGGGAGCAAATGCTCCAGTCGGATAGAGTTTTGAAGGTCCAGATTACCCTTTTTTCAATGTGTTTTTTCACTTGGAATGTGCTTGAACTAGCTGGCAAGGGAATGGTTAGAAGTCGAATTGGTCAATTAAAGGGAGCGCCATGCCATCAGAAGCAGCATAAAATGCTGGCTTTGAATCTGTCATCCTTATCCGCAAAACACTTGTGTGGACGAAGCCATAAGCGACTATTGACAAGGATCCTGCTTGGAAAGTGCTAAATTGGCCGTAAACTGGCCGTGGCGATGTTCGGCTTAATGTTAAGACACGCAGCACTAGGTTACTTCGTAAAGCCCACACCAAGTTTAGATAAAGGGCTATACTGTGCTCAATTTTGCAGTTTTCAGGTCCGATTTTTCGCAGTAAAACTGCTCACAATTTAGTCTACAATGGCATTCAGCAAATGCGGAAGACAGATTTTTGAATGGTATGCAGCTGGTTTGGATTGGCCACTTTGACTTCTAACCATTTCTTGTGAGCAACTTCCGCCAGGAAAGTTGTAAAGTCTAGTGTGAGATCATCTCCCAAAAAACTGCATTCTCATGTCGGCTCCTACGTTGAGAAATACAACTGGAACAGCGAGATTTTCGATCTTATTTTCTGACTAGCTATAATACTGGTGTCGTCCTGTCAAAAACTATGACAAGGGTTCCATCCCCATCGCTCAACTTTTCCCTTGCCCGCTTCTACATGTCAATTCCCTACCCCGCAGCTTGAACCCTGCAAAAAATCAATAAAATCAATACCGATCGATAACAAAAAGAAGCCTACGACACGCTTCTCACCCCAAAGCGTACAAAGTTTGGTCCAAATCGGTTTCGATATAAGATTCTTGCACATACTACACACAAACACACAATCAGCTCTATATATAAGATCTGAACATTTAACCAATTCGACAAACCATTTTCTAACTCCTAGATAGTGACTCTAGATTTTCTAAGCAAAGTCAGTGTAGGTCATCTGCTTTTGATTGGGGATTTTAGGATTTTTGTAATGATATATAGGATATTCGAAAAATCGTGACGATGGCGACCGCGACCGCGCGCAACACGCACGCACTCCCAATTCTTGGTTTCTATCTCAACTCAAATAGTTTTTCTGCTTACATATGATAGTATTCAGGCACTGGAAATGACTGAACTTAGTGAGTCGTTGCTTGTTTGTATGGGTGTTTTATCCTTCTGTGTGCGGAAAGACCGCAGTCAGCTCGTCGTCACGATTTGAAAAATGAACTATACTTATGTTCTAAGAAATGATAATGTTGGAACGCGATTTCAGTGTGCAGTAACAAGAAACTCTCGAGTGAAAACATCAAAACGCAGCAATATTATGAACGACTGACGTTCTACCTCTGAATATTTCAAAAAGCGATTCCAGTATGTTCAAAGTGCTTGGAGAAATAGCCGGCAGTGTTTATTACCGAACTTCCTCTTTCAAACGCAGTCAGCACTGCTTGGTTGGACAATCTTAATTATGCTATTTGAATTATTGGGATGGCTAATGAATAATTTCGTCACATGCAACTTCGTAGCTCTTTAAAAATTCAAGTGGCCGTTATTTAGCTACGATTTTTTGTCAACAGGTTGTTGTTTCAATAATACCATACATCTGCAAATAAGTTCAACAATAACATTTCACCAATCCGTTCAAAACAACCGAAACTATCTTTAGCCAACCTAATAAATGAATTTTTTAGCAGAAAATGATCTAACCAGGGGAGACCCGAAGTCGAAATCGGCTTTCCTGAAATGTATATTATTCTGAAGAGCATCGAACGCTGATTCCAAATTTGTCTCTGTTTTTTGCCAAGCACCTCTAAACGCTGAGTTATGAGTGTTCTCTGGAGCAAAAAATGACAGCAAAATCAAGGTAAAGGCTATTGCATGACGAAGGCGCAATAGCAGTCTTAGTTGAGCGGACGCGAACTCGGCGCGCGCGTATCTTCACCGTTGTAAACCCTGCGCCTTATCCGCTCTGCGGCTAATAAAGCCGCGTTCGCGCCCAAAGGTATTGCGCCTTCGTCATGCAGCAGCCTTTAAAATCAATGGTTATGGTCTTTCCACCGCTCAAATAAAGAAGTGGTGAGTAGAGTATGTAAGACAAAGGGTTTTGCATGCATGGAGTGGTCTGATACCCACATTTTGGTACATTTGCGCAATCTTACAAGGGAAGGATACTTGGTCAAGTGGCGCTGCAATTGAAATGTATACTGTCTTATAGAGCACAGAAAGCTCATTCCGAATCTGCTTTTCTTACCTGCAAAGCGCTTCTGACAAGGAAGCTATAAAAATTTTTGAAGCAAAATTTCAAACGCGCGGCTACAATAAAATCATTCAAAACTACATCTCATGAGCTCAAATAGGGCCACGATCACTAACAGGACATTCTATGCAATAATTACCTTCAATCTAATAAACTCATGCCAGTCATTACTCCTTTCAAGCGCCTGAAAGACCTCAACACTTGTATTTACCTTAGCTAAATAACTGAATTTTTACCACAAAAAATTCCCAGAACTCCCCTCCCAGAAGCGCTTTGCAGATAAGGAAAACAGGTTTGGAATCAGCGTTCCATGCTCTATAGGCTGTTGTACATTTCATACGAAGACCCCACTTCGAACAAGTATCCTTTTCTGTTAGACGAATTTGTACCAGTTGCACGTTCAATTTTTTGAGCCAAAAAATCCACAACTGTGTAGAGGCGCTTGGCACACAGCAAAGACAGTTTTGGATTCGGAGTTTGATGCTCTTCAGATTGGCATCTTGAAGCGGATTTTGACTTCGGGATATTCTCCTTGTTAAGTGAGTATCTTGAATGGATTGTAAACTTACATATGATAGCAGAAAAGAGAGAACATGCGGAGAGAAAAGTTGATATATAATCTAAGAATTGACATAAATGCCTGAGGAACTGTGATCAAGAACGTTTGAACTTTCATATCTAGACTGTGGGACCAACGAAATCTTGTTTATATAAGGAACCTCTTACCAGCGGTCTAGAATTATTTGCTGGCTTGAGCTTGTGCAGTAGCAATTCTCCATACCCTCGATACATAGAGACATGTAGTCTGGTAACCTTCACTTTGAGCGCCGTGAGAGAACACAACCTTCACTTGCGAAATGAAGTCGTCCAGGGTTTTGCTCCGGATGTTATAATCATGACTAATTTGAAATGAATGTGAATGTCGTAAACAAATCAATGGCCTTGTTTGCATTAAAATGGAGGTTTTTGTGAACATTTCCTCGGCATTCAGAACGACATTTCTCACTTGCCCTTTCTTCAAACGCGAATTTCAAAAGTTCACGAATGTTGAAGAACGGAGTTGGAGTTCAACAAAAACAAGAAATTGCATTGAAAACTTAGTTGGACATGGAAATGCTGGTATTTCGTTAACGAATGATTTTCAAGGCTTGGGACATTGTTTGTGCTTCCAGTCGTGTCATGACGATCAGAATGATATGTAATGTTGAGGTTTACTTCAAGGCCTTTGGAGATCTGCGACCAGAGCCAAGTACCCTTTGATCTTTCTGCTCTGCTTGTCTGCGTCTCCGCGCGTTGCGCGCTACTTCGCTACACCCATACACGGGGCATGGAGGATCTGGCTCTAATACCCTTTTCTTCGTTGTTCTAAATCCATTTCAAACAAATTGTACATCGTATTGAAGCTCTTGATCTATAATTTGTGCTGACAACGTCTCAACACCCCATTTTTGATATCAAGAGGAATCTGGCAAGAAACGTGTTTCCGAAAATCCTTTGTTTTTTCTTTAGTGTAACTCTTTGAACGCAGTTTTCTCTTGTATTCAATAGACATTGCCTCAACCCATATATAGAAACGTCGCAGAGCTTAATTCTTCAGTTATGGAGGATTTTTTGTGAAAATTCGTAAAAAAGTGCGTTTTTCTTTACCTTAGAAAACCTTATAATGGAAGGAAAAACAACCTTCTACCTTTACCTTTGTGCTTTCGCAGCGATTTTTTCCAACTTGAGTGATTATTGCGCAGAATAGTGAGCGCAACAATCCAGACAAAATCCCAGCAAACGGGAACTACGATGCTGGAAATTTAATGAACAATCAAATACTACTGGCTTGGAGGTGTATTTCGATTTACAAGAAAACTTGGTTAGTCGAAGTGGGCTTTCCAAATGAGATATATACCATATTGAGGGGCATAAAACGCTGACTGCAAATCTGCCTTCCTTATCTGCAGAGCGTTTATGCACGAGAAGTTATGAGCGTTTGTTAAGCTAAAAATTGGACGTTCATTTTAGATAAATGGGCTGCTAAAATCTTACCAGACCTCAAATAACGCAACCAAGTGTGATATATCTTATATTTGAGAGTATTTTTTAAACAAAGTACTTTGATGATTATCACTGCTCCAAGAACTAGGAAATTTATTAAGGCTATTTTTGTCCTACTTGCACATTCAATTTTTTGCTTCAAAAAGCTCTTATAACTCCTCGTCTATGAAAGCTCTGCAGATAAGAAAGGCAGATTTGGAATCAACAATTTATCTCTTTTAATGCGCTAAACGTCCCGTTTAAAAAGGCCACTTCGACTAAACATGCATTCCTTGTTAGTAAGCATAAAACTTTGCCTTCTCACAACTAATTCTTCACTTGTTTATCTTCTTATCTTGGAAATGGTTGTTTTTGTAACAATCACAATGAAGAAATTAACTTTTTCTCGTTTCCCCTGTTGTGGATAACGGTCCTGGAGCGAAAACCAGCAGTCCAAAATGCCGCCAGAGGAAAAATTTCAAACTCACTACAACGTTTTCATTCGATTACTGAGAGTTTTTGCTTTTGCAAATTGTTTTGCATCTCCACTTGCTCGAAGAATTACTCCATTCTGTTCAAATATGTACTAATACCTAGGTGGTTTCGCTTTCTTCAATGAGAAATTAGCTAAATAAAAGCTCTCCTATCACACGAGTTGAAAGATTTAGAATGCAGCAAGAATGCCAAACATCTCATCATTACTTGAACTTCTTCATTAACACATTGACGACCGCTTGACACACATGGTGTGTCAAGGCTTGACACACCATGACTCCCATTGAAATGGCTACTAATTTGATTCAAATCAACTCTGGGAATTTTCTTTTATGCTGAATCTAGATATAGCCTCTACTGTTTTTGTCAGCATTTCAATGCTACTGTAGATGTACTGTAAATGGAATTGTGCGTGATCTTATCTGAAGAATGTTGGCAGGTCCGAGAAAGGCTTTGGTCCTCAATGTGTTAACATGCACATGTAACGCTCATGACCGCAATTTCAAAGAACCATCTGACGCTGACTTACAAGACAAAGATACTTGAGGACCGTGGCCTTTTGAAATGCAACATTCACCATCAAATGCATCTCAGAGCGCTGATTCTTCTTCCAAAAAAGTTATGAACATCTTTTCTTACCAAAATTTGCATTGTTTTGATAAAAGGAATCAATAATATCGTTGAAATGATCACTTACGCACTACAAAAGAACGTCCAAATCAAATAAAGCTCAGATAAACTGCCCTTGACATATCCGATCCTAAACTATAGCCCATTTCGCCGACGGTTACGACTTAGGATTTTGACTCGTCGTTCGGAGACTGCAGAGTTTGTCTCGCTCAACTAGAGTTTTGTTTCGGCAATCTACTCAGATCAGGACCACATTCATCGCTCCGATCTTGATGTTGATATTCTTATCATTCTATAATGCAGAGCCTATCAGCAAAGAGAAACTCGAACGCATATTCCATTCGTGAGTGTTCCATTCTGTTCGTAAAACCTTGCGTATAAAGTATAATCTCCTTATAGGAATTCAACAGCTTTGGCTCGATTCCAAGGAATGTTCGGCGGAGACGGGATGGGCGTGGATTTAGGACGGCTTTCAATTTGCAACGACTTGGCTCGAATTCCGCTGAGAAAATGTGCTTGTGATAGAGATAATCAGACCGTTGTGCCAATATCTTGCCTTGTGAAACAAAATCCATCTCACCACAAAGCTTTTAATTACATGATTTGGTCAGCATATTTTACTTTCTTGTGAATTATATGTGTGTGAAGACAATTACTGAGATTAATTTCGGTTTCATACAGTGAATACCACATATTTCGTTCCGCATTCTCCTCAAAAATGTTTCAAAATGATGAATCAACCAGTCAAAACGAGTAGTACATGGATTTCTTCATAACTGATTGTGAGTCTAAGGACAATTGCATGATAAGGATTAGGAAGATGAAATGATGATGATAATAATTCAGCGAAAAGCATTCAAGTGCCGTTTTTTTCATAAACTCCCTGGGACAAAGATTTCTGAAGCTTAGATAAATAAATGATTTTTTGAAACACCATAAATGGGATGAGAGTCTTCAACAGCGTGGAAGAAATAGCAGAACTACTTGCTTGCGTCAAGTCTTTTGAAAAGGAATTTCTTGAAAAAACAGCTCACGAAAGATTCACCACAAACATTTGTGTTTGTGGTCCACAACAACACAACATGAAACGAATGCGAGTCAATTCAACAGGTCATTCTAACCATGAAAGTTTTGACGGTTCTATTTCCGAAAGGACGCAGCCGTGGTACCATGCCAGTAATTTGCTTGTTCTCTCAATAACCTAGGAGGGATTTTTGTTAAGCCCATCACGAAATATAACATTGAATTTACTAGAACATGGAGGAAAGTTCCGATGTTTGAATTGCTTTCCCTCACTGCAGAGCAGCTATGCCAACGAGTTTGCGCAGTTTGCTTGCCCTTCGCTTAAATTAGATATTCAAAGTTATATTCAGTATTGAGTTAAAGTTCAGAGTCAATATTGTGGAAACTAATATTATAACCAAAGTTTGTTGAGCTCTTCCAGGTGAGCGATTTTTATTAAGTGTAAGTTCCACGAGAAAAAAGCGAACTTTGTCTCAGTTTCCTTTCGTAGCCAAAAAGTTTCTTGATCAATAGAATAAGGTCATTGTTTATGCGATCATATCTTGCCTGCAATTCAATTTCTTTCTTTCTTTCTTAAAATCGAATTCATAATAGTGAGGCTGTATCTTGAGTATAAAGTGCCTCCGATAGGTCGGACAAAAAATTTTACATCAAAACATACAGTTACCACCAGGCAGTTGCGAGAAGCAGCCCTCTTTCTTTCTTCATCGCTCATTTTCAGATAAAAAACAAATCGAAAAAATGATCAGATTGCACAAAATGATGGAGCTCTTCAAGAGCTACAATTCGCATATCATGCTTTTAGGGAAACATGAATTCTAAAAAGCTTAGGAACCCTTACAGAAAAAAGTCCAAAAATGGGCGCATTACAAGTCATGGACAACAGTTTTTCGAGCGCAAAAACCTCCTTTTGGGATTTTTGGAACGACATTAGCAATCCGAACAGATACGCCTACTATCATAAAGAACTCGTCAAGCACTGTAATTTGGTTATGGCTCATTCCAAAAAAGCAAGGCTGAAATTTTGTTCAGTATTTTTTAGAAAATAACTTCTAATTCCTTCTACCAAGCCAATCTACTCGCCCGAAAGCCAATGCAAAACATCCTAACAAAGCTTTTTAGATAAAATGAGTGCTCTTTATCTTCCTCTATGCATCGGAGATGTGGTAGTGGGTTTCTTTGCCGAAAATGGCTCTTAAAAGTGCGTACACATGACCTCACCTGCATCTCACCAATGACTTGTGCCGCTCTACAGGGTTGTAGCTCGACCGACAGATACTCTACGAGCCCGCGTGTAGGCTCAATCAAGAGCGTGACTTACTCGACACGATGGTACAAATGTGTTGAAGTTAAGAAAACCCGGAAACTTGAGGATGGGTTGAAAAAGCGCGGTTGCAGAAAGCGTGATATGTGAGTTATAGCACTTGAAAAGCTCTATCATTTCATGCAATCTGATCATTTTCTCTTCATCGCTTTTTTCTAGGAAATGAGCGATAAGGAAGGCTGCTTGTTCGCATTCTTTGGTGCTCATTATGCTCCAGCAGTGAGTGCCGATTGCGATCATCCTTCCTTGCAAAGCAGTTCAGGAGGGATTGGGAGAGGCAGGTGTTTGCTATCTCGTATTGTTTAGCTGCAGCAAAGTAGCGCAAAAATGACTTTTTTATAGCGCGACTTGTAGCATTGTTATTACTTTATCTGTCAATGATTTTAATGTCATCTCAAAATGTTGCACTATCGAGATTTTCTGTTGGGTTGGAACATAGGACTTGCAACCATTTTTTGGAAAATTTGTAGTTTCCATCAAGCTTCCGTTCGATTAATATAAGATAGAGAGAGAGAGAGAGAGAAAATCAGGCGGTTTACTACTGCTTAGAAGTGAAATTGTTACTATTATGTGCGTCTAAAAGGGCGATGAATTCAAACTCTCTAATTTGTAGTCTGTTTGTTTATCGCTGTTCAGGTTCTGTTCAGAAAAGAAAATTCGTTTTCTTTGTCCAAAATTGTGGCACAACTTGTGCTTGAATAAATAAATAAATAAATAAATAAATAAATAAATAACTGCAAAATTGTATTTTTTTTAAATTTTCGATCGTTAAAAATGTTAGAGGATCTAGCGACATTCGATTTCACTTCTATTTCAAGTTTATGACTTATTCCTTGGTGAGATGGATCTGTGCTGATTGGATCTCTCCGCGAAAATATGTGATTTTCAAACTTCGTTATTTTTTTGATCTTGCTTTGACCAGAATTTCTAATATGCATGTTGAAACGATATATATATTAGATTGGTGCAAAAGTTTTGTTTTCTGAAGTGACCCCTAAATCACGTATATAATAGGCGGAATGCAGAATTTGGTCACTTCAAAAAACATATTAGAAATGCTGTCAAGCCACAGAACCACAAGTATTGCTGCAATTGGCAAAAGGTTTTCCCTACCTGATAGTTATTGCAGCTCTCTCAAAAATCCCTAAAAATTCTGAAAATTAGTGAAAGTTGGACGAACACGAAGGATTGCGATTACCGGCAGTTATCTCAACACTCTCTCAATAATTCATACTAGGGTATAGCGCTGGAAAGAGGAAGAAATTCTGCATCGGATACAGCTTGAATTGTTTGTTTACGATTACTGTACATGATTTGGGGTCATTTCAAAAAACTGACATAACATTTGCACCGACCTGATAGTTAGTACAAAAGATAAAATATTCTACAAACTGGAATGGCTGTGTGAACATTTCTTAACATTTTATTGCGGAATTTTCGATGCAAGACTTGGATTCCTCCGAATAACGAAACTCCTCAGAGCCAATTATACAAGCATGTATCTATATTTGTACTGTAAAGGGAAACGGAATACCTTATAGTGCCAAAAAAAAAATCCTTGTACCACTGTTTGCAACCTCATGCTCGGTAGGAAGGTGTTTCATGATTTTCTCGTGTAAAAAAAGAAATGCTTAAGCATTCGCCCTGTTTTTACTTTCTCTCCAGATGCAGCAGGCTGGAGAAAGTCAGTGGAAGGTTTTGTTTAATTTTACAAACGTATTGACACTTGAGTGGGCATTTACGAAAGGGAGCGGCAAACGTTCACTTTTGAGTATTCCTGAATAGGAATGAAATGTGGGATAAAAAGTATCAAATTTCAGAAAAACGATGCCCTACAAAGTAATTCTCGTTCTTATCCTGCTGCATGTGTGCGTTGCTATGGGTTGTTTTGAGGCCTTCTTTCGTTGGCTGCGTCCAAGTCGCAGAAGCTCCGACAAAGGTTGTAAGAAAAAGGTTTACGATGTGGGAAAATGTGAACAAGCTAAACATGTGAGTTTTGGCTTCTTTGATGGTAATTCCTGTTTGTTAATTAATTTCATCGAATTTGCAGTGTCAAACTCGATGCGAGCGCGAACAACTAGGATGTAAGATAAAATATTGCTCAGAGTATAGAGAGTGTTTTTATCAATGCATGCAAAGTAATAAAACCATGAAACTCCCTGATTCTGAGTAAACTTTCTCATATACTTAATTTTAATCGTGCATGTCTTGGAATAGATGGTGGAATGTTTTCATTACTCCTTTCTATCCGCTCCAGTAATTTCTCAACAAAATAAAGGTTCTGCCTTCATACGCTCCTGTGCACATAGATGCTATAGGTGTAGAAATTTCTCCTACCCCCTTTACTTAAGGCCGGCACTCGCTGACCCCTTTCATTTGAGGTTGAGAATAGAATCAAGGCATAACGGCAGAATCAAACAGCTTTTACAACGAACTTTTTGTTTGGAAAGGAAACGCCATACTCTTCTCCTCAGACATCAAAACTGCAAAAGAGCAGGGAAGCAACAGCGTTTTGTTGAAAAAAAAGCATGCTTGAGATTGAAAAATTGAAAGGATGCCTGATTCTTAATTAACGTTGTATCAATGAATTCACACTGTCGCAAGATAGAGTTGAGCAAGAGTAGTGATGGATGCATGTTTACTGACAAGCATCGTACCATAGCTCCCTCTGGAAAAAATAATAACAAATAAAAGAGCAGTTAGATTACTCGTTTCTCAAGCTTTCGAATCATATATATAAGTGCGAAAAAGACGTTCTTGGTTTAAAAAGACAATTATCCAGAATTGGCTGACATTATAGTTAGATAAAGCTGCTCCTATCTCGCTTCACAGGAAAGCTAGGAAAAAAAAGACGCTCTAGGTCGATTCCTCGTGTTCTTAGCTATCGAATGGTATGCAAAGTGTTGGTGTACAAAGCTTTCCCAGTCCAAAAAAGTTTTGCTCCGGCAACCCATAGAAAGCAAGAGCGGGTGGAGCAAGTTAATATTAATACATCCACCTCATTTTTGAAAAGCCTCGACTTTTTTCATCTAGCAACCTGTATATTATTAGAAAGCTCACGAAGCAGAGATTCGACCTAGACCGTCTCAATTTCTCTAGCTCCCCTCTACTCAGAGATACATGACATTTTAGCTAAAAACAGGTGTATTTTTGTGAAGAAATTTTTACGCATGATTGAGAATGCCCAGTTGTCTAACCTCATTGCAGAGCAAGACTTCGCCAGTAAACGTGGACCGTCTGTTTTTTCTAGCTTTCCTCTTTTCTTTAGAAATGGCGCTCAAAGT